GGGGGGGGGGGGGGGGGGGGGGGGGGTGTGCGGACCGCACCGGGTGATACCATCTCAGGGGGTGACACAAAATTGAAAAATTGCATATTTATAGAGCACCGAATTGCACATAACCGATCACAAGTAAATTGTCCACACATGTAACCAAACCTAATGTGTGCTTTGTTAAAATTTCTTTTTGAACGTATTATTTTGTTTTACTATATACTATAAGGCGTTCAAAAAGAAATTTGACGCACATTTTAACGTGTGAACTGAAAAAAAAATGATTTAATCGAATTTCCGTTCTATAAAATTTCCGTCGATCAATTTTCCGTCGACGAAATTTCTTTCAAACAAATTCCCGGTAACCATTGAAAAACCCGCTGTCACTCTTCTGAGCCCATACATGATACATCAACATGGAATTAATATATTTGGCCACTGAAGACCTAAAATTTATGTTAATTATCTACTTTTAAAAATCTGAGATATAGCTTGATCAAATTGATGCGTATTTTAGTCAGGAAAAGGGGGGGGGGGCACTCAGGATGAGTTTATGTCACAAATGAGGCGATGGACGATAAAAGTTTGAGAACCACTGATTGAATTAAAGGCTCCTTAGATATCATTAATATGGGTTGCAAATAATTTCAACCTGTTTGAATTTCCAGAAATTAGACGACGGTCAGCAAAAAGTTAATTTAGCGACTACTTTACTGGACAAGATTCATCATACCACAAGTTTTCACAAGACAATTATTGGGAATTCCAAAAGTTCTTTAATCCAAATGGATGCAATTTACGACACGATACTGCAAGGTGTATTCGATATTTTATACCCTCCGCCCTGTTGTACGTGTACTATTTTTTGGACATCCCTTTATCTACGAACATATGAGCTTCCACAAACCAACTCCCCACCAGGAAAATAAATAGATTTATTTAGACAATCATGACGTCAACGTAAAATGCCAAGGATTTTCTCTGCTGTCTCTTTGGCAAAGTCCAGTGGTCACCCCTCCCCCAAATGGGACCAGCTTCGCATTGGGGAGCCACAGCTTACTCTCCAGGGCACCGCAAAATATTATACAATTTTCATAAATGTATTTCCATTTTTAATCCAGTGTGACAGGGCACGACATCTAACAGACCTGGTGTAAAAATAGTAGCACGCATGAGTATTTACTTTTTTGCATAATCTCTTATAAATGGTTCCTTGGTGGAACTAAATAACATAAAGTGGCGTTTTATATATTATTACTCCACCTTTTAATTAAAAAATAAATAAAATCTCTAATTCGAAGAGTGCTTGATAGAATTCGACATTGGATTGCTGAACAAAAACAAAACTAAATTTGGCAAGAGCACTGAGAATCCTACAATTTTATGAATCACTGGGGCTTAGCAGAAAAAAAATAATTACATCACGACCATTGAAACATGTAAAGACGAACGGTTTATTAAATTTTATGTGACTAGTGCGTTATCTTGCGAGTTCACTAGTGAAAACACAAAGTAAGAACATGGCGATAATAATGAAATATTTCGTGATATTTGTTATGGCATAAGAAAGTCCTGAACAACTCAAAATGTAAGGCGGGCCGTAACACTTTATAAAAACTTGTGCAGGCCGAAAAAAATGGGACACGGACACGGGGCAAAGATATTAAGAAAATAATAAGAAGAAGAATAATTCGTTACTTCGCAGGCCGCAAAGTGGGTGCTGGCGGGCCACATGCGGCCCACGGGCCTTATGTTGTGCAGGCCTGGCATAACAGATTGGTTATTTACGTACTGTCCCCCTTACGCAAAGTCTCAACACCTTAGCACCCCCTTAATCCTCAATGCGTACTTAATACATGGATGATACTTACCTGTTGTGGATTTAAACACTCATGTACACTTGCGCTTCTCAAAGTGGTGAGCCTCTAGTAAAACGGAGAATTTAAAAAGCTGAGATGAATGGTTGGACTTGGACAATGCTAGTTTGGTTAGTATTTCTTCAGCTGCACTATCATTTGTGAAGATGGCCTAAGATTGCAAATTTATTGGAAAAAATGGCAAAGATGAATTGTTTTTAAACATTTTTTTAATATATTTTTAAATTTCAATCTTCATATCACTTCAGGAAAGTCATATTAATGAATTAAACACATGATGATGATGATTAGAGTACTTTGATAGCGTTTGTGCCCATGTTATTTTAGCATGCTCGTGGCGCTCTGTTGTCCTAAAATCTATTTAAAGAAAAAGCCTTGAACTTCAAATGGTTCGTAAATTTCTTTTTATCATTTTCAATTTTCCTCAAAGATTGAGGCAAACTTTTCCATAATTTAGGCGCAATAGCTTCAAAAGAGCCCACTCCGTATGACTTCTTTCTGTTTCCGTCCACACTGGGAGCTCTATGTGAGGACATGCAATAATTCTAAATCAAGTAGTAAGTAGAGTTACTGTAATCGGGGCCGGCACTAGTCATTTTTATGTTGGGTGAAAATATGCAATAGTCACCCTCTGGAAAATTATGAGGGGAGTTCAGAATTTTATTTTTTCTTTGATTTAGCCGGCTTCGGCGGTTTGGGCGCCTTGGCGCCTGTGTGTGGTGATCACTCATCGTACCCGCCTTGACCCGGCCCTCACTGTAATGCGACATGGTGGAAATAGTAGGTACAAGGGGCGTAGCTATGGTTAGTGCGGTCCGGGACAAGAATAATGTATCTCTATTCCCCCTTTTTTCCACGATAAAACGTGTGTAGTTGGCCGAAAATGCCGCCCCTCTTTATAAAGATAAAAAGTGCCAGCAGGCAGCAGAGGCGAACCGACCATCCACACTCCTTCCTATGCCACTGTGGTTTATATGACATCTAACAATAACAAAAGTTATTTTTATGACTAAGGGGCGTACATTAATTACGTCAACAAAATAGGGGGAGGGGGTTTGGAAATGTTTGACAGTTTTTGACAAGGAGGAGGGGGGCGAGTTTAGATTAGTTGAAGTCAACAATCATGTTTTTTCTATTATAATTTTAATCTTAAAAATTGACTGGTTCTTACATTATTTAAACAATTTAATGAGTGTAAATAGTCATATATGTTTAGGCTTTCACAATATAAGAGTTTAATGTTTGTCTGTCTATGCACTGCAGATGGTTGGTCAGAATGTTAGCACACTTTGTTAGTGCAAGAGAAGTCAAAAGTTGGCATCCCTTCACCTGTCATTTTTCTCTTAATCTGCTCCCTAGAATGAATAACACATCATTTCACACTCATCGACGTTCAATAACAAATATACCAACACAAAGACAGAGAGAGATTATGGCAATTATTGCTCACACTGACAATACTTCTATTTTAAGTGATGAATGGTTAGATAAGGATGCTGTGGACTTGTCTGGTGTATTAGTTTTACAAGATGAAAATGATAAATCAACTACTATACACTATGCCCATCAGGGGCGTAGTTTCAGGTTTTTTCAGGGAACGGGAAAAGGGGGTGGGGGGCAAAACCAAAACTTGGTCGGCTTGTAAAGTTGCTTATTACTGGAGGCTCCACATTACATAGCAATTTAAATAAACAAGCAACATCAAAAGGGGGAGGGGGGCAATGCCCACATGCCCTACCCAAATGATATCCCTGATGCCCATTATAACGATACAGCAACACCTGGCTACTCCATGGGAAGATGATAGCAGATAGAAACTATACTATAATTGTCATCTATACTGACAATAATCATATTTATACTGCCACAAACAATGATATTTAGCCCTTAACAACCTTTTAAATTGATTCTGCATTATAAAATTTAAGTGTAAAAACTTTTTAGCTTGTTCGTTAAAAAAGCTAAAAATGTAATAAAACGATTTCCCTGCAATTGTATGTGTCATTTAAATAGATCAGCAAAAAGTAAAATGAATTTATAAATTTATTTATATTATAATTCTAATTCATTTTTTTTTTTGGGGGGGGGGGTTTAAAATGTTAACATAATTAAATATGGGGGGGGGGTCTTGTTTGACAGTTGTTGACAAGGGGGGAGGGGGTAAAAATGCCTAAAAATTGTTGACGTAATTAATTGACGATCCTTTAAGTGATAATTTATTTTACTCTTGTCCCATTTCTTTCTGGTGTTTTGTCAATTGCATGTTGTGTGGTTATAATGATTTCTTCGTTTCTATTCAAATTCAATTTTTGTTCGGTTCTTTTCACATTCAATTTTTGTTCGGTATTTAGTTTCAACGATCTTGGCTAAACAAGGCAAATAGTGTGTTTTGTTTATTGAATTCATTGTTTTCACATCAAATTGTGATACAATTTTACATCTATGTAGGTTTCAATGAAAAAATGCCCACAGAGGGGACTGCTTCATCATACATGTGGCGCAAATCGCGAATGAAATTTGTTATGACGAAACGCAGTGCTAGTATGAGCGATCGTCAAAGAAAGCGTACTTCTTCAAAAAACGACGATGACGATAATAACGAAATAGAAGACGACTTCACTTCCTGTTTCATTGACGACGACGAATCAGATATTGAGAACAACGATTCCTTGTTTCTCAAAGAAAATCATGAGGAAAAAGAGATTAACGACAAGCAGCACCCGAAATCTCGTTTGTATAGCCAAAATGGCAGAGCAATACAAGGCCACAGACTACTGTCTGGTAGTGCTAGTACTAGCTCTAGTAGACTCCCTAATGACAATCAAGAGATAGAAACATTAGACAGTTATGAACTTGAAGGGGGTGATAAGATTAAGAATGCCCATGAATATGAACACAGTGGGGATGCTCATGCTATTGAATTTCTTCTGTCAAAAGATGGCCATGAATTGGAGGAAGACCAGGTTGACATGGCTATCTCAAGAGATGGCTTTGGTGATCGGACTGATCTGGGACTTGCAAGAGGATCAGTGGATCAACAAAAAAGAAAGATGGAAATGGCTAAAATGGAAATTCATGCTATGTCAAAAATAAGTAAACAAGACAAATTTGAACCTACAGTTAAATTTGGATGGTTGGATATGTTGATGGGTGTGACATCAATTGCAGTGTTCCTTGTGGATATTGGTACAGATATTGAACTGGCAGCTCATTATTTTCGAGAGGAAAGGTGGCGATATGGTAGTGTGACAGCAGCTTTAATAGTTGTACCATCACTTATAACTTGCTTTTTGGGACTGCACTGGTACCTCATCGATTACAAGAAGGAGAAGCGAGTTGTGGAGAAATTGAAAAAAGATAAAAGGAAAGCTTATGTTATACCCAGTCATGTTTGGTTTTTAAGGATATTCTTCACTTTATTAATGTGTGGACCAATAGTAAGGTAAATCAATAAAAATTAAATTGGACATGTTTTAGTATAACAATGAAATAAATTGAAAAGTATGATCTTTTTATTTTAGTTAAGAGAAAGAATAATGCATAATAAAGCATTTGAGGTAGATTAAAAAAAGAAGAAATAATTAGGATCCTATACTTTACCGAGTTGCCATATCATTTTATGACAAATATTCTAAATTTAAATCTCCATAATTTGTATGGTCAAACAAGTTTTATAACGGACACCTTTAAAAATAAAGCTGTTGAAACTACGAAGCTAAAAAAATAACAATACGACTATGACTTCATGTGAAAATCTAATATTCCGAAGACTGTGCTCAGTAGCATAGCAACTTGGCTAGCCAAGATTTTAACCCCCCCCCCCCCCCCCCCCCCAATACTGTAGTTGGCAGAGAATGACGCCTTCAATTTAAGGAAAAAGGTGCTGCACAGGGTAGACTGACCCCCTCTGCCACTCCTTCCTGTGCCAATAAGTATGCTTCTAGAATTATATCTCTAGTTTATGACTGTGTCATATGACAATGAGGCACAAGCCTTTTTTATAGCGTTAATTTATTGTATGACATTGTCACCATTCATTTCTCCCGATTATAATCACGCAAGAGTTAAAGCAAGGAAGAACATATCCCAAATGCTAAGATTTCTGGTTTTGTTTGGCTACAATGTTCTGTAAAATGTCTCTGTAAATAAAACATGCTACACTTTCTTTATCCAAAGACCTTGTTTTAAAACATCAGTGTGTTTTTTAAAAAATTCTGTGCGACTGTCTCTTGAACTAAAATACAAATCCACAGATCTTAGTGGATAAAAATTGCAACCTCACTCATTCCTTAAATTACATTTTTATTTTTTGTAACATAAGTCCCTTTCCAAGACAGATTACTTTACTATTCACAAATTGATTTAATAACTTTATATTTTTTGTACTTATTTTCCCTTTTATTTTTATTCTTACCACTTTGTTTACTTTGCTATTAGCTTTCAGGATGTATTTGTTTGAGGATCCATAAAAAAATTCTTAATTTTGATAATCAATCTATAAAAAAGTTCTTCATTTTGATAATCAATCCTTAAAAAATTTCTTAATTTTGATAATCCATATACGTTCTTAATATATTATATTTTTTTAAAACTCAGAATACTGGAGTATTTATATTGTGGTGTTAACAGCCGAAATAAGAAACTGACAGCCAGAGAAAGAAGGAGGTTCTACAGGTTTATGATGTATGAGGATGTGGATAGTTGCCTGCTGCGTCTTTTTGAAAGTTTTCTTGAGTCAGCTCCTCAGCTTACTTGGCAGCTGTACATTGCCATTGAACTCAAACCCCAGGAGGATGCCGTTGGCTGTGAGTACTAATTTTTTAGAATTTATTGTAAGAGTCATAGCACCAAAACTATTGATTATTTTTCTTTCTTTTTTCTTGTAATAAGTTACTAGGAAATGTTTGATGGCTTAGAATGCCAATAACGAAATCATTACTAAGAAAAGTTGACTTATTCAATCTAGTGTCAACCATCAGATGTTTAAAAAAATCTAATCTGTTTTTATGCCTAGTTTTTGTATTGCTGTATATTTAATAAAAAAAGTAAACTCTCTTTATTTGTCAGCTTATTTACATATTTGACATTGGTCTGGTGTTTCTGATCACATCAAGAGTTGTGCAAGGAAAGAAACATTACACTTAAAATCACTGTTTTTGTGTGTGTCTACTGCTATGCACCACTATACTAGTCAATTTCTTAGAATGGGATATTTATCCGTACAAAGATTTACCCATGAAAAGCAACCATCTGATTTGCTAATGGGATGGAGTTGAGGCAGAAATTGCTTATAAACCTCTTGATGGATAATCATAAGGGTTTTTATCTATTTAACTCCTCTCCTCACTTTTTACACATGTGACTGCCCAACAACAAGCTCCCCTCTCGTGATTATCAAATTCTTTTTATTAAAGAATGAATATGCTTTATTTTAAGGTATTATTTTAGGGATTTGAGGCCCTGTTTATGCTCATGAAAATAAGTCTGAAATCTTCCTGGAATCTAGACAAATTAAATAACATTATTCTGTAAGATTAGCAACAAGAATTCTTAGGTTAGCTCAGTCAAACAAATATGAAAACTTGTGTTCCTAAAGTATTATGTAGAGCAGAGGTTGGCAAACTTTTTGGACTATTAGACCATTTCAGGGGTTCGAGAAGGCACACAAGGCCAGAAGAAACGAGGTGCCCGAGGAAAGGTTGTTTTATTCCAAAGTACAGTACAATATCAGGTTCTAATGTTGAGGAGTTCAGCAACAGAAAGTCATTAAGATGATTGTCAGTGAGCTGATAGTGCAGCTTGTTCTTACAAATTTCACCTTGGAGAACAGCTGCTAGCTCAAATAAGTGCTGCCTTAACATTGTGACTGCTTGGCTAACATTGGAAACTGAACACATGGTAGCTGATGGCAGAAGTCATGGGCTTCCAAGTTTATAATGAGCACGTCACATCCTTGCAGCTTCAGGTTAAGTTCATTAAGGTGAGAGCTTATATCTGTGAGGAAGCTGAACAGACAGAGCCAAACCTCATTAGTCTGCATTTACTTACTTCACAACAACAGACATAATGTCCTTCATGCAGGCTGCCTTGGCGCACATTGACTCTTGTTGGACGATGCAGTGCAACTTTCCTATCTCCTGCGCACAGCCCAAAGGAGCAGCTGCAAAAGTCCCTTGGCAGATCCAAACCTGGCTGGTGCATCATCAATAGATACCGTTTCGAGCTTCGACTGGTCAAAATCACTTAATGTGAGAAAGAGGGCATTGAGGACATCTTGGCCCTTCATGGGGATGTGGCTGAGAAACTTGACTACCTCCATGTTTTGCGTGATGGCATGCACAAAAATGGCCTACTGCCCAGTGCCCAGCTATTGTTCAAGGGGATGGAGAATATATCGGGAGGTTTGAACTTTGTGAAAATCGAAGACCGGACATCAGAGACCAAGTCCTGTCCCTTGAAAGTCGATCACTTGAAAGTGCTGTTGGCATCCTTGCACACTAAAGACGGGGCTTTGTTGCCACGTTGGACAAAGGATAATTCATCAGTCCCTTCGGGTTTGAAGACCCCGATGTTTGAGATCAACCTTCCGGAGAATGGATGCTGCGCGTTGCTTCTGCTTCTTTAGGCATAGTAATTGTGCTTACTTAATACTCCAGATTTTTATTTCATTGTCATACTACAGACCATACCTAAACAAATGAAGGGGAACAAAACGGCGACAGTTCGATAATGCCAGATGCAATAATAAAAAACTAGGTGGGTTTTAGGCCGGACTAGAGTAGTAAATAGGCCATATGTGGCCTAAAGGCTGTAGTTTGCTGACCTCTGGCTTGGAGTGCAGATCAGACCTGTTTACCCTCAAACTCTTAAAATCGTACAATATCATCACAAAATCGTTCAATACATTATCTTAATAGTAAAAAAATAAACATACGGTATATATAATGTATACACTTCAAAATCGTACATTGTACGCCAAAAATCGTTAAAGTAAACAGGTCTGGTAGATATCATTATGTTTAAGGAAACATACAGTAAAAAAAAAATGTTCTTTCAATGTTTTCTTTCCAGCTTCTGTAAGAGTTATTGCCTTGCTGTCTTCTTGGGGAAGCCTTGCCATATCACTGATGTCATACCAGAAGTCACTGAGGAATTCACATGAAGAGAAGGCCAAGATGAGCCTGAAGAGCCTCCCATTCTATTTCGTATGGAGGGCCAGTGAAATTGGTGGGAGGGTTCTCTGTATTGCAATGTTTGCCTCTGCTTTTGATCTGTGGGTGTTTGGGCCTTTAGTGTTTCACTGGGTCTTTATGTCAGGTTGGTTGATTCTGCAGAAAACTACATTCTACAAAAATGTGTGTCTTGAGAAAGTCTTCAATATCATCTGCGGCTACGTCATGGTCTTTTGCTTTCTGAATCTGCGAGAGGGACAGACCAGATTCCGTGTGATCTTATTTTACTTCATATTGTATGTGGAGAATTTTTTCATGCTGGCACTGTGGTTTCGCTTCACCCAAGATTTGGGGGCCTGGTTTCACCTGTGGGGATTTATAGTGGTGCTCATACTCTTTGTGCTCCACATTGTTTTTCAACTGGTATACTACTGGTTCTTCCACCCCACGAAGGCCATAAAGATGTGCCTACCATGTGACCGCTATGTAGTGTATAGTTCTATATGCCATGATCTGCAGCCCCGTGAGGACAGTGCCGGTGGAGATTTGAATCGGAGCTGTCCCACCAACATGGAAATTATAGTTGAGAATAAAGGGTCAAAAATAGCCCAGAATACTTTTAAAGACTCCCAGGTTTCTATGGTGTGAATTTTCAAACTTGTTGAAGAAATAAAAGACATTGTACTGTTGCAAGTGTTTTAACAATGCCAGATGAATATTGTCCCATAATTAAAAAAAATAGAATACTGCAGCTAAACTAAATTTTAATAAAAAGTAATATATTTACGATACTTCTTAACATTCTTGTTGGTTTAGATAGATCTTTTTGATTATGTATTACTGCACTCACTAAATCAAAGTCCCATAGTTTGCAATAGAACCAATTTTCATGTTGTTCTATTAACCATTCTAAAGCTACTTTACTTATGTATAGATTGCACAACAGTATTTTTTAATGTGTATTGTTTAAATGTTTGTTAAAAAATATTTTTGCAACTTTTAATAATAAATACAATGAATCTTCAACAATTATATATTCCTAAAATTTTAAAAGAAATATTTCGTGATCTTTTAGTTTACAAATTGAAATGTTGATATTTTAAAAGTTAATTAATTAGAATTCATTTTATTTCTTAATTAAAAATTTGTATATTTTTTTTGTCAGGGAGTTTAATATTAAAGAGTTAAAATTGACAAGTTTCAATCGTATGAAAGTTCACATAATGATGTTTCTTTTAAAGTTTCAATTTGCTCATGCCTTATTAGTTTTTTTTTTATCAAGTATCAGGTTTTTTAAGTTAACAAGTCTTTTACATTAAATAACATTTTCAACTTTATAGTTTATAATATCACTATTATTTACAAACAACAAGAGTCACATCAATTGCATTTAATATTGCTGCTGACAATCTGTTAAAATTGAATTAAGAAAATGTAAACATTATTTTAAGATTTTATTTAATTTCATTGGATGCACTTTGTGACGGGAGTACAGAAAAATAATTAATAATACAAATTATGTAATTATGTCACATGAAACCTTATTTCCCCAGACTTAACGCCTGGGTTCTTAAGTTGTAAAATAAATACAACTATAGCATTGCACCCATTTTACCATAATTTTAAAATATTATTTAGGAGGCACAATTTTGTATGCACAGTCTTTTATTACATTTCTGATTTTCATTGAAATTTGTGCATTACCTGTTACCTTTCAATAACAAGTGTAACTTGTGTTTATGTTTGGTCAGATTTTATGTAGGCTTGTTTTGCATTAACTGTTAGCTTCATTTTGAGGTCTTATCCTACTGACTTATCTGATAACGTGAATCATGCTTACTCACATTTATAGGGTAATTATTACAATGGCAGGACTAGTGCAATGTATTTTTTAGGGCAGTCCCTGCTTTTTAAAGTTAATATTGCTACTAATAAGAGCATGAGATGGCATTCATCAATCATGACATTTAATTTTGGTTTTTAGGTAAGGGATCGTGAAAAGTAAAGAGGCTTCCTACTATGGTATCTTCATTTTTTTTTTATTATCTTAAGTTTTCATTTTAAACAGCCATTTTTTTGTTTATGGGATTGAATGCAAAAAGATAAAAATAGTGACAATTGTGACTTTGAACTGCGATCTCCAAAATGTATGGCCTTAAAGAGCAACATTGAAAGAAGGTTAACCAGAATTGTCAAAAATTTGCATCTGCATTCCATAGGCTCATAATTAACTATCTACAAACACAGCATTCAAATACATAAAAGTTCTGCATGCCACCTGCAGTATACAGGTTGGTGAATGCTGGACAAGAGTATTCCCCCCAACCAGGATCAGCACAGCCTCGTAAATGAAGGCAGTACCTCTAATGTATTTTACACAAACAAACTTTAATGTTCATATTTAGCCTCAACTGATTTTTCTGTAAGATGGATAAGATCTGTATTAAAATGGCACATGTTTTTTATTTCATTCAATGTTATTGCTTTAATGAATGTCTGTCTACTAGTGTTGGTCACATATTTTTTTGAATAGCTTGTACTATTGAGCCTCATGACGATAGTGTTGTTTTAATGAGAAGCCATTATCTTTTGTTTTATGTAATGATTGCTTTGCATAGTTGTGAGGGGAGATTTATTTCTTGACATAATCCTTCAATAGTATCTTTTAAAATATGATATGCACATATTTATTGGTATTTTATCATGTAAGACAATTATTTATTCATTTTGAAGAGTTGAAAAAGTTGATCCATTTATGATCACTAGTTCCACGATTTCCAGAATCTAAAATAGATTATTGCAAAAGCTCATCCCATCAAATTGTTGACTTAATGTGATCAAAAGCATGTGAGTACCCCTCATAAAGAAATAGCATTTTGTTGGCAATTTTTTGTTTAAAACAAATTTTTCTGCAAAAAGGAAGAAATGATACAATAATTATTATTATTATTAAGTGGTTTTATATAGCACAGTACCCCAGCCTCGGGCTAGGCTCGCTGCGCTTCACATAAAAATTAGCAATTGCAGAAAATCATACATTTAAAAACAGCAATTGGTGAAAAGCTTGACCTCACCCACCCAAGTACTATCTACCCCTGTCTAGCCATGGACAGCACCCAGCAGCATCGAGCGTTGTTTATCAGTTATAAGGGGGGTGAGAATGATTCGGTATAGTGCAGTTCGAAGCGATGGGTCTTGAGGGCAATTTTGAAGGCTGGGATGAGCGTTCTATTGCGGATGTGTAATGGGAGAGAATTCCATTGTTTTGGGGTACAGAAAGAGAAAGATCAATTATATCAATTGAAAACTGCTGTTTATATGTAAACAAAAAAGTTATTAAAAGCTTCAGAGGATTTCTTTTATGAATTTTTATCTTATGTATGATCAACCAATTTTATGTCATTTAGACAATTTCTATTTTCTGACCTCCTTTGATGTTTTTTTTTGATTGTTTAACAAATTTTAATCAATCCTAATTCAGACAGAGACTAGAGACATCACTTCAGCTGCTTAGACTATGCTTTATTTACATTTCAATATTTTAACAAATTATTTAAAAAACAAACAAAAAGAAGTATTCTATAATTTGTCAAGTGGATTTTGTGACAAAATAGGATTTAAAGGGTTGTTTGGAGGGGAGGGGGAGGGGGGGTTCCAAAGAATGCAAAATATCATACATGGGCAGCCCCTAAAAAATTATTTTTAATATGTTCATGTTTAACATTACAAAAATGCTCAATATTAATAAGATCACATCAACTATCAAAGTAATTTTCTGTGTGTGATGTGTGTTATTTATAATACTGTTAATGATGCCATTTTGATAACTGGTGTTTCTGGGTTTTGTTGTATTTTTGTTTTGTTTTGATGTTGATAAGAGTAAAATTACAGAACATGTAACATATCTTGACTCTACTGTCTTTGCTTACTGACATTCTTATTTGAAAATAATCTCAAACAGTCCTACGCCTGTTATCAAGGGACAATCAGGCAACTTAAAAGATGAATTTACCTATCAATTTAAACTGACATCGAATTACCAAGCAGACCTTTGCTCCTGAAGAAACTGAAATGCTCACAGTTTACACAGCACTCTGTCTCTTTGTCTTTTGGTATAATTGTGCAACAAAAAGAGTGAAGCCTGTTGTAATATTTTGTGTGATCCTAACTGAATAGTTTTGTCATTACTCACATTTATTGTCCATGGATTTGGTGTTTAGCTAGTCATTTTTTTCTTTCATTTTAAAGGAAGGGCTTGGGTATTAACTTGATATTGCCAGCTGACTTCTGATGGCCTAACATTCCACTAGAGATACCAGAGTTTTAGGTCAGAGCCAGAGTGCACAACTTTAAGAGACACAAGGAAATCTTTCATTTCATTCCTTATTTGAGTCAACCTAGACTCTGCCATGCTTTTTATTTGGCTGGACCAGCAGTTCTTTGATTTGCTTGTCCCAAGAGCTGGTGCCCTAGTAACTGATTATTTGTTTCAATCTGTTTCAACCTGCTTTCAATCTTCTGCATGCTGCATGCAGTCAACAAGAGGTCTTGCATGCCATTGTTAGATTACGGACCACCATTTTGAAAAGCACTGCTCCATCTTGCTTCATTAGATTTAATATTTGACACGTTAAAGTAAGTAATAATATCAGATTTTAATTTTTGAAAAGCTACCCCGTTTTTTCAAGGGTTATATTAAACTATTACGAAACAAACCAACTGCTCCTGTTGGGCTTGAAACTAGAATCTAGAAAAATGTTCACACACCAATGGATGCAATGATCAAATCTTAAATAAGTTAACCAGGGTGAAAAGGGTTATCTTGGGAGTTGAACATGGTATGTTACCCAGTGACTTTCCCCTGCTCGATGATGCTTGTACTGTGTGATATAATGTTGAGCCATTATTCCAATACTCCTTCTGTAAATATAAAAAGAGTTACTTGTTCTATGCCTCACCCTAGCTGATATTGTTGTAGTTATTGGGCCAGTTATTGTGTTATTCTCAGCCTTGTGTTTTATCTAATGGGTGCAATCAAAGTGCAATCAAACTGATATTTAAAAATCTCTATTATTTCTTGTTTCATCCATTTATTTTAGTTCTGCCTTCATCTGGCTCTGAGACAACCAGCATGATTGATACTTGTGACAGTGAAGCTTATTAATTTATTGTACTTAGTGTTACTTCTATGTAATATTAATACTACATTTTTTCATTTGCTTATAATAATTACTCAGTTTGCATAATGACTTATTAACCACTGCAAAATTTAGCTCTGCATTGTGAGCTAGTCAAATTTCTCTTTGTTTTAAAAGGTACCCGTCTGGGAGTGCACAAGTCTGCCCAGTTTTAATACTTTACATGTGCTGTAGTTGGAATTTGTTATAGTGTCAGTAGTTATTTATATGATCCAGATGCCATTTTACTCTTGAGATTCAAAAGCCATTGTTTTAGGGGGATATTTGATTCTTGTACAAGCCATGGCGTTAGGAAGGAAATAAAATTTTGAATTTAAAAAAAAAGAAACTTGTGTTTCTGGAAGGTATTAATGTTGTGTAGATCAAAAAGAATTGATCTCATGGAGCGGAAAAGTCAATTAATTGTTCTTTGTGAACTTGCATCAAAGTAACCCCCCAGAGTAAACTGTTCAATTGTTCTAAATGAATAACTTGACAATCACTTGTAATCTAAGTGCACTTAGGGGATAAAGTTGAACCGAAGTCTTGGTAAAATTGTACCTAACTAGAAATACC